TCATAGGGCGTGGCTGCCTCATAGCAGCCTCTGTTGGCCAAACACAGCATCCCTGCCTCAGTTTCCCCTCCCCCAGGTTTTGCCTCTCCCAGAGATTCGTGTGGCTCGGTACTCCCAGAGTTCAGGATAACTAAAAACCAAACAAACTACAAGTCCTTTCACCCCACGTGGGCTCCTCTCCAGCTCCCCTGCGGGGCTCAGTTCCCAGAGGGTTAGCGTTCAGGTTCTGTGGCTCCGGATGGCACCCTGCCTCTTTCTCTTCTGCAGAAGCCCAGCACGGGACATTGCCCTGGGTGGTGCTCTCCCCCTTGGAGTTTTCCCCGCCCTTTTACAAGGCCCAGGTGTTTCAGGCTGTCACCTAGGCTGGGAGGTGACTAATTGCTCCACAAGGCGGGGTCCCTTGCTCCAGGCCTCCTGTCCCTCAAAGGACAGGCCACCCTGGTACCCCAGACAATGGGCCAGCCATGACTTGGCTTCGTGCCATTCTCCCCCTGAGCTGGGCTCTCCCCCCGCTGTGTCCACATGCCCCTTTTTCAGTGCCACTGAGTCACAGCCCCTGAGCTCCGGCTGCAGGAGCTGAAGCAGAGCTGCCCTCGCCCGCCGAGCCGTATCTGGCCACGGCTTGCAGCAGTCAGGAAATCCTCCTGCTCTCATGTGGTGTGACCTAGAGGGCCAGATAAGCAAGCGCATGCGAGAGAGCAGAGCGCACGCTGCCGAGCGTTTCCATCACAGCCAGGGGCCCGGGGCATAACGGGCTTCTCATCTCTGGCACCCCCCGGATCTCGGAAAACCATGGACCGTGCAGGAAGCATTCTCAGACTCACTCAGCCTTCACGTCAGGAGTAGGGACTGTAGCCATCATCCGCAGCTCCCTAAAGCCTCCTGCATGGAGCTAATCACTTCATCTGCAGCTCTCAAAGCACTTTGCATAGTGTCATTATCCCCATTTTGTAGAACTGATGAATGAAATTGTTTGTAATTGTTCACTTTATTAATGTAACGTCGTAAGTAAAGTTTTATGAATGAAACAATATTCATTCATAAAACCGGTTACCCCAATAACTGGCTAATTAACAGTTAAGATGCTTGTTAAGAGCTGTTCAGTCAGCTGCCTTTGTAAGTTTCACTATCAATCCAATTCCTGCTTAAATCACTGAGACTTGCACTGTTTCAGTATTGGAACTTCTGTTCACCATTTATTACACTTGCCTACAGTGGAACTTCTGTTCACTGTTTGCCATCCACTACCCTTGTCTATGTTGTAACTTCTGTTCACTGTTTGCCATATTGTAATTCAAACCCCATTTTAAAACGCTGACTCCATTTTGTAAGGGCTTGCTGCAACCTTCATTTTTGCAAACCCTGCTGTAATCTTATTAGTTTAGTTTAGATGTGTGAATGAGGGATGGATGGATGGTGGAATCAACCTCCAGCCCCAGCCTGTCCTGATGAAATAGAGTTCAAACACCAAACACTGAAGATGCAGACAAGAGCCCTAACAAAGTAAGAAGAGTCCACACTAAAAAGAAAAGGTACAATAGAAGGAAGATCAAAGCCCGGTCCCAG